CCACACGTCTTAAAGCTGCCAAGGTTGAAAAACACTGATTTAGATGAAGAAGTCTTTTAAAAATCAGTTTTGAATTGATTTGTTGTATCTCCAAGTCATCACGAGACAACTTAAGCCAATCTAAGTGAAATGTAAAGCAAATAAGCCATTTTAAGAGACTTTTCTTCATTACGTAGGGCTGAGGCCTAGCAGAGCCTCGGGGGTTGGAGAGCGGAAGGAAAGGGGTCTGTAGTCTTGTGGGAAGAGATTACAGAGATGGAAGAATGTCAGGGCACAAAATCACATGTGGGTTTTCTCCAGCTGGCCTTAGGCAGACAGCAAGAAGCTCGGCTTCTATTCCTCCGTGTCAGCACCTCAGTCCTGGGACAGGGCGTCCCTCGGCAAGGAAAAGGGGTCTTCCAGCGACGCTTACAGCTCTCTCTTCAGTTATTCTGGTTCTGCTCTCAGCCTCTCCAGTTACATGCTGGGATGTAAACAGTGCCTTCGTGGGTTTTTTTGGTCTCCGCAGAGTTTTTCACAGCAAGGAAACGACTCGACTCCTCACGAAAAGAGACAAGCTCCAAGTCCTGCTTCCTAGCAACCACCAGCTCTCCCTTTAACCTGGATTCCCTTACAAGGGGACTTGAGACGGCATTCCCCAGGGACAGTTTTCCTGTGCTTTTAAGGGATGCAGTGAGGCAAAATTATCCAGCTTCTTATTCAGGTTTAAAGATACAGTAGCCTGGTCTGCAGTCAGCAAATCCGTGGAGTCCCTGGGGTTCTCTGAGTTCCACAGTTTAACCCTGAGCTACATATTTTCTCTTCGATTGATCAGCAGATCGTTTAAGTTGCAACGGTAAGGCTATTGCCTTGGAGAGAAGCCAGAATAAGCTGGCTGGCCAGCATTTCCTCCAGCTGGCCAAACAGAGCAGTGCCAAAATGGGTCTCTCGTCAGTGCCCCTCTCCCCAGCCTGGCCTTGCACCCAGTTATTTTTGCAGCAGAAAAGTCACAGCAAGCATTTAGAAAAGCAGGTCGCTCGTTGCAAAGCTGCTTGGAAGCCCAGCGCAAGATGTTGGAGCACAAGAGCAGCTTTGGGGAGGAGGGAAGCCAAAAAGCCAAGGGGGGGGGGGACTGGCAGGAGCCCTGCCAGCTAGCCAATCCCCAAGTTCCATGGAGCTCCGACGCTGCAAAAATGAGGTTTTGCCATTTGAGCTGCAGTGCAGCTGAGCTGAGGAGAATCAATTCAGCTGCCTCCCATCCATGACGGTATGGGGTTAGGGGGGTGTGGCGCCAAGCTGGGAGCAATGCCAATGCCCAGTGTGAAATTGCTCTAGAACAACATATCCAAACAATTGCTCTTTAGAAACAAGGCTACTGACTGAATGTGAATTCTTGCGCATTTGGACACAGCTTGACTTGCAGAAATCAGGAAGCAAAGGAGATTAAGATAGGAGGAAATGTATCTGCAGACCGAGCAGCGGTTCAGCAGCCTATTGCAGTGACGGCGAACCTTTTGGGCTCAGCATGTCAGAAATTTGGAAGATGCCTCTGCTGGCGTGTCGCACGCCCCCCCCAACAGAAAAGAAACAATTCTTTACATATTCATTTATTTTAAAAAAATACAGTCCAATCACCTGTGGTGCTATGTATTATATAAAGAAACTTCAAATAATTACAAAAATGAAATACGAGTAAAACAAATTCATTTTCTTTGATAACTCGGACAGGAAGAATAGTTGTTGTTGGGTGTTGGTGAACACTGGCATGTCACCCAAAATGTTGTGGCATGTCACCTTCGACACGCATGTTATAGGTTCGCCATCACTGGCCTATCAGCTTTCAAAGATGCTGATTTGGGGCTGGTAGGTTTATTTTGGACCACTATGACCACCTGTTTCTTTCTACCAATTTATCAAGAGCCTTTCCCCAGTTAGATATAAACTTGGTGTGAACACGTTCCAACCACCTTTCTGCCATGTCCTCATGACATTGCCTTCATCTCACCCCCAAGCCATACCTGAGACAGGTACCCTTAAGTCATTCTTAGCAGATTGGATGCTAAAGTAACCTTCTTCCCATTAAACAAGCCGTGAGCTGCAGCTGTTTTGCTCTGGGCGCAGCCTGAGGCACTTCACCAAGCATTCCACCTTTGTCAGAGGCAGGTGACCCCTGGGGGCCTGGGATCAGCCCAGCACCTATTAGCCATTTAGGCTGGTGAGGGCCCACACCCTTCCCATCAATTCCCCACACCTTGACTTCCAGGACCATTTTTCTTTGCACAAGGGGAGAATCCATTCTTTCAAACCAGACTTTCCCCCGGGGGAGTCTCTGTCTCATGAGAATCGGTTATTAAATTGTCC